CAACGTTAATAAGTACAATCCCATTAGAGCTTCTTCGTATATCCCATTACCAAAACAGATAGCTAATAGAAGAGCTGTAATTAACATAAAAAATAAAGATCAACACTGTTTTGGGTGGAGTGTAATAAGTGCCATGTTTCCAGTAGACCAACATAGTGATAGAATAAGTTCATACCCTAATTTTTTGGATTATCTTAATTTTGAAGGTATTGAATTTCCAGTGAAGTTGAAGGATATTAAAAAATTTGAACTTTTAAATCAAATATCCATAAACGTTTATGGTTTAGAGAGTGTTTATAAAGATTCCGAATTATGTTATGAGGTAGTTGGTCCTCTTCATTATACCGATAAGAAACTTCCAACTCATGTAAACTTATTGTTAATTAGTGAAGGTAAAAACAATCATTATTGTTGGATTAAAGATATGTCAAGGTTAGTTGCATCTCAAATAAATAAAACAAGTTATAGAAAATATTTTTGTGATGGATGTTTAATTTATTTTAATTCTAAAAAAAAATTAGATATGCATCAAGTATATGATTGTAACCATGTGTTTACAAAAATTCCAACAACTGATATAAAAGTTAATAAATATGGGCAACAGATCCCTGAAAATATTCTCCAGTTCGAAAACTTTCAGAAGCAACTTAAAGTTCCATTTGTAATATATGCCGATTTTGAGTGTTTTTTAAAACCTCTACAATATGAAGAACCAACCAATGATAAGAGTTCTTTTACATTAAACACTTTTAAGCATGAACCATATTCTTTCGCTTATTTCATTAAATGTTCATATGATGATTCTTTATCAGAAATAGATTATTATTTTGGTCTTGATGCAGCTGATGAATTTTGCAAACGAATTGAAGCTCATGTTCATAGAATTTATAATAATTATCTGAAACATGTGGTACCGATGGTTCCTTTAACAAATGAACAAGAATTTCAATTCGAAAATAGTATCATTTGCAGTATTTGTAAGGAAAAATTCAATCCTTTAGATGAAAAAGTAAGGGATCATGATCATTTAACTGGAAAATATCGAGGAATAGCACATAATATTTGTAATTTGAACTACCAGCTTCCCAGTTTTATTCCTGTGTTTTCCACAACCTCACAGGATATGATAGCCATCTATTCATCAAACAACTTTGTTGTGAAAATGATAAAATTGATATTCTTGCACAAACTAAAGAAAAATACATTTCATTCACAAAGTCAATATTGGTTGACAAAATTGAACAAGCTGATAAAACGAAAGTTAAGCATGTTTTTATTAGGCTCAGATTTTTAGATTCTTTCCGTTTTGTCGCTAGTTCATTAGAGAGTCTTGGTAATAGCTTAGATATCAATCAATGTGTAGAAATTAGAAGATATTTTCAAGATTCCAATCAGTTCAATGAAATTAGAAAAAAAGGAATTTATCCTTATTCTTATGTAGACTCCCTAGACAAATTAAATGAAACCCAACTTCCAAGTATTGAAAACTTTTATGATAAACTTAAAGATACTCCCTTAGATCCTTCAGATTATGAACGAGCTATTCATATTTGGAATTTGTTCCATTGTCAAAACCTAAGGGATTACACTAAGATATATTTATTATCAGATGTTCTCATATTGACGGACTTTTTTGAGGCTTTTCGAAATGTATCCCTTAATATATATGAATTAGATCCTGCACAATACTTTACAGCACCTGGTTTATCTTGGGATGCAATGTTGAAATTTACAAGGGTTAAATTAGAATTATTAACAGACATTGAAATGTTACATTTTTTCAAAAACAGTATTCGGGGTGGAATATGTCATTGTAGTGTTCGAAAAGCTGAGGCTAATAATCCATTTCTTCCAAATTTTGATTCTACGGAACCCAATTCGTTTATTATGTATTTGGATGCAACTAATCTTTATGGACATAGTATGTGTCAATGTTTACCTACAAGTGATTTTTCTTGGATGACTAATGAAGAAATAGATTCTCTTGATGTTTTATCCATACCAGATGATTCTGAATATGGATATGTATTTGAAGTAGATATCAAATATCCCCTAAATTTACATAAAAAGCATAATGAATTACCTTTTTTAGCTGAAAATATATGTCCACCAGATTCATATCAAAAAAAATTAATTTGCAGTTTGAATCACAAAGAAAAATACACAATTCATTATAGAAATCTCAAACAAGCAATTGAAAATGGACTCAATGAAATTAAATTTCACAGAGGTATCAAATTTAAACAATCTGCATTTCTTAAACCTTATATAGATTTAAATACAGAAATGAGGAACAAATCTAAAAGTAAAATGCAAAAGGACTGTCATAAATTATATAACAACGCTATTTATGGCAAATCTTTAGAAAATATTGATAAACGAGTAGACATACGATTATTAACCCATTGGAAAAATATTAATAATAAACAGGGGGCTGAATCACTTATAGCTAAACCTAATTTCAAAAGTTTATTAGTGTTCAACGAAAACCTAGTAGCAATTCAGTTAGAAAGGGTAAAAGTAACATACAATAAACCTGTTTATGTTGGTTTCACAGTATTAGAACTTTCAAAAACTGTAATATATAATTTTTATTATCAGTATATTAAACAAAAATATGGAGACAATGCAATTTTATTGTACACTGATACGGATAGTTTAATTTTACATGTTAAAACAGATAATTTTTATAAAGACATTCAAGAAAATCTTGAACGATTCGACACTTCTAATTATGATGAAAATAATGTTTATAACATTACAAGAAATAAATCCGTGCTAGGTCGCATGAAAGATGAATTTGCTGGACAACCGATACTCAGCTTCCTAGGAACAGGTGCTAAGGCATATTGTGTTAACTTGAAAAATAGATCTGAGAAAAAAGCAAAAGGTATAAAAAAATATGTAGTTCAAAATTCAATTAGCCAAGAAGATTATAAAGACGTAGTTGAAAAGTCTGATATTAAATTTAGAAAAATGAATATCTTCCATTCAAGTTTGCATAACATGTACACACAATTAAAAAATAAAGTTGCTTTGTCTCCTAAAGATGATAAGCGTTATATTATTCAAGGAATTTTTAGGACTTTGGCTTGGGGTCATAGAGACATTAATATATTGAGCGATGATAATATTTGTGATGATGAAGACGTTAATGACGTAATTAAAGTGCTTCAAGGATTAGCTTGTGATTCCTATAAATTGTGATAATTATTAAAGCATATAATCATTTGAAAGTAATCATGCTACCAGCAGGACTCTTGTTTCTTTCTGCATTTTTAAATAGTACTTTGTTTATACAAGTCAATTACAATGTAAGAGAGACGTTTATATGTTTATCAGCTAACAATGTAAAAAATGATACATGGCCATCAGCATGGAAAAGAATGGATTATTTGAATAATGGTCTTTATTCTTATAAACTTGGAAAAAATATTGATAATTCTTCTAATGTTGATTACAAGTTACGGATTTATTTTGTAGATAGAAACTATGTAGAAACAAAAGAATGGCACAAATTATATGTAAAGCCATGTGAAAATAATTTAGATGTGAGTCTAATAATTTTCTCTATTATATCATTTCTATCATTTATTACTATATTATGTTTTCTTTTATATCATGTATATTTGTATTACAAATAAAAGTTTTTGAATTTTCATTTGTGTGATTTTTCCTTGACCAACTCATCCAAAATTTATGTAAAAGGTGAAAAAAGGGAAGGTATACTAATACCCACCTCTCAAAATTTTCATCATGTCTACTTTGTCTTGATATATAAATGAAAAAATGAAAAGTGTTGCTATCATTCAGTTTCAAACTTTTGTCTGAGTATCAATAATAAAATGTTCCAAGCAACCAACTACTATCAACAACCAAAAAAAATGGAAGAATTTGGTAAGAACCGAAATGGAACCCTAATTGGAGAAAAAAAGTACTACATCAACAAATCACAATCCAAGTGGGTCAGCGTTGGATTTTCCTTGGAGAGAAAATATATTCCCGTTGTTAAGCTAGGAGGATACAAAAATAAGCAAAATGTGATTTTTGATGAGGAACAATGGATATCCTTTTTGAATAACCAGAAAAAATTGTTAAGTTTTGTTTACTCTAAAAGTTCGGGATGGCAGTCTTTGTCAGGAAATGGCTACGAAATTCAGTTTGTGTTTATTGGCGAATCAAGAATAATCAAAATTACTCAAGATGGTGGAAACGAAATTTTTTTGGCTGGTGAAACTATAAATGAACTCATAAATTTGGTTAACTTGATAAAGTATCGTTTTGATCTACTTAAGAGTCAAGAATTTTTAAATTATTACAACAGAGTAATAAGCATGGTATCCAATAAAAATGGTGATTTGAACAAAAATGTATACGAGAATATTTCACCTTCAACTAACCCAAATAGTGAAAACGTTTCCTGTGTTCTGGAATTGCTAATTTTCCATTCTGATTGTATTATAGAAGATGTGGAAACATATGTATGTAACGAATTTGTTAATAAATTGGAAAATAAAAAGTATTAGTACCAACATACCTACTCTTTATTACCTCCCTCCACTAAACAAGTAATATTTAAGCTTCAGGAGCTGTTTTGATATTATATAACTAGTCAAGATGTGGTTAGCTTATGTACAAGAAACTCCAACCTACAGCTTGACAACAGCAGTTGAAAATTTGGCACAACTTTTTAGAAATTTGGAATTTGACGCGGAGCATGAAGCTAATTGTGGATTTGAAAGGTTCAAAACGATCGAAGAATGTATGGAACTTGCAAGAAAATATAGCAAAGCGGAGGAGGCTTGTAATACCTACTTACATACTTTGGATCTGACAACATTCCTTACTACCATAAAACACATGGATTTTGCTCATTTTTTAGATAAAGTGAAAAGGTTTGCTCCGAAAGAAATTATTCAGGAAGTGTTTAATAATAAGTTGAATATGTAACTTATATCATTATCAAAGAAAATAAACAAAAGTTCAAAAAAATAAGTGTTTTATTCAATCATTATAAAATTATTATATAAATAGAATACATTACTAAGTGCACATATACATTGTGATTTCAGATGGTAAAAACATTCAGGTTGTCCTTTTTGAAGAGCCGGCTTATCTTCAAATTCCAGAACAGGCTTCAATGAGTATTTTCTAATGTATTCGGACTTCTCTTTCCCTTTTACGTAAACATTGTCTACTTTTCCTGTTAGATTTTTGACAATGTCTGCAAACTTATAAATTGGAGTGTATCCCTCGTTCCAACAAATACAATGATGATTATGAATTAACCAATTTGCTTGTTTACATAAATCAGGTGGTAAATGTTGAATATCAAATGGTGGTCTAAAAATATAGTGGCATATTTTGGTACCATCATAGGCAGCTAGTTCCTTGGGTATAAATTTGTTATTTTCTATTGTAAATCCTTGCACATCCAACACTAGTTTATTCATATTTTCATATTGGAAAATGCTTTAATCATAAACTTTTTTTCTGAGTATTCTTGTATTTGTTTTTTTAATTGCTGTAACTTCTTCATGTAACGAGATAGTTGTACATCCAATTCGGTCTTCATGATACTGATAATTTGAGATAAATATCTGATTTATATAAACATAAAAGCATGCGCATTATAGCTGCTTTACTATTTTGGTTAGAGGATTATAGCTGAATATTTTATCATGAAGGATCAGGCAGTATGCAGAAGTATCTTTTTTGACATTGGTGCTTGTTTCAAATTCAACTCTCATGACAACAGATCCTGTTTGAATTGACTCTTTCTGATGAGAACAGTCGATGTGTGTTATGGGAGAAATATTTTTGAAATCAGTGGGATTAAACACTGGCTCAGTTGCAATTCCATAATAGGAATGTCTGAAGTTTGCAAACATTTCATATAAGGCAGAAAAATTATTGTCTTTGAAATTTAAGTGCAAATCATGATAAGGATAACGTTCAGAATTTAAAAATACTCTTATATTAGTTAGATCAATATCATCAAACTGACTCATATCTTTTTTAACTTGCCCTTTCCGATCTATTTGAAAGGCTACTACAACATGACGAGGAGATTCGAGTTTATTTGTCGTTTTCACTGGCCAGGTATGTCTAGTTGTTTCTGATATAGACGAATATTCAACAATTTCCCAACTTCTAAATCCTAGAAAGATTTCTTTGTTAGATTCTAGTATTTTTGATAATGCCAGTTGTTGAGGTATGTCTACTGTTATGTGTGGAATTTTCCAATACAATTTATCGAAGGAGATCATTGGAGTTTCATCAGTAATTACTTTGGTCTCCAAATCATCTTTAAACAAAACAGCATCTAAATCATTACTTGCTCTAATAAGAACTAATTCTTGTTTCATATTGATTATAATTTTTTTATAATCTTCGAAAAATCCTAAAAACATTTTTAGTGGTATGGAAACACAAAACTTTCCATTATCATCCACCAAAATTCGTTCGGCCTCTTGTCTTTTTGGAAACCAACCTGCATTCTGTAGTTTTAGACTTTCATTAGTATTGTGTGAAAGATAACCTTTTAGAGTAGAAGCTAATCCGACATTTCTCACAGAGTCTATAGTGACATAGTTGGTAAAAATATTGTAGTAGAGGGTAGAACTTATGAGGGTACTGTGGGTTTATACGAATTACTTTTTAAAAAGGAACCTGTTGGCTTCAAACCCAAAGATTTGGATAATTATATGGACATTTTGAAAATAACAAATGCATACCGTAGAAATAATGACCCCAATGAACAAGTTCAAGGAACCGCATCTACGAAATATATTACAATTATAGGTCCATATCTTCAAAAGAAAGGAATTACAAAATCTAAAACAATAAATCCCGTTAGACCAACTACTTTCGAAAAACCTATTGCCCCATATCGAATAAGTACTCGTAAAGTTACTAAAGGTAAAGGATTCACTTTAAAAATAAATAAAACAAACACAGACTATGTGTACTGGAATGATGTAAACGAACTTGTTGATAGACTGCGTTTTTTGGTAGCATCTGTTAATGCAGGCAATACTGCTCATCATAATGAAATTTTATCTATTATTGAGGAATTAAAAGAGGCTAATATTATATTATAAATATCAAAAACTACATAAACATTACAGTTGTTTATCATCAATCAATCATGACAGTTGATAAATTCGGTCGTCATATTTCGAAACGTAATTCAATGAATAAAACGTCACTAGAAAATGTCGATTTTTCTACCGTTGAAAATACAATTTTAAACAACTTGAAAAAAGACCTAACTTATTTTGGAAAAAAAATAAATGAAGATTTTGAGAATAGATTAAAACAGGATGTGATTAATGTTAATAAAAGGTTGAATGAAAATGATGTAAAAATCGAAAATACTGCAAAAAAAATTAAGCTTTTTGAAAATGATTTAAAAAAAGACATTATTGATTGTAGTGCATCAACAAAAAAAAATTATGAAAAGCTAACAAAATTTGAAGGTGATATTGAAACAATAACAAAATATCATAATGATGTTATTGATTTGAAAAATTATTTTGAAACCGAAATAACGAAATTAAAAACATACATGAATGAAACATCAAAAATCGATAGTGTTCAAAAAAGCATAGAAGATAATCTCAAATTAAAATTTGAAAATTTTTCAACCAAAGTTTATGATAGAGTTACGAAAGAAGTAAAGTACTTCAAAAATAATCATGATAATATTGATAAAAATATAAAGCGCTTGGACAGAACTTCAAATTTAAATGCACTACTACGAAAAAAAAATACTGACGATATCGCATTTATAAAGGAGCAATTAAACACAATTTTGACACAAATTCCAAAGCTAACATCGATACAAAGTTCAAGTGAAGAAGAAGTACGTAATCTTAAAATTAAAATAAATGACATTGAAATGAATACTAAAGAAATTACTGAGTTCAAAAATCAATTAAATAATATTTCATTGGACATTTCGAGATTGTCATCTGTACAAAATTCAAAGATGGAAGAACAACTGAAACTCACAACCGAAATTACTGAAATAAAATCGATTATCAAAGTGATTACCGACCTAGAAAATCAATTCAAGATTATTTCAATGAAAGTTATAGATTTGGGAAAAAAAATTGATGAAATAAAAAATCTAAAGGTTGATGAAGACGTAGAGTTCAAAATTGATCAAAAAGTTGAACAAATCAGAAAATATGGAACCAAGGATATTGAATTATTAAAAGAAAAATTAAATACAATTTTATCACAAGTTTCAGAATTGTCTTTTACGCAAATTTCAGGCAAAAAAGAAATAGAACAGCTTAAAATTGATATTGATGACATTAAAATCAACACTAAAGGAATTACTGATTTCAAAAATCAATTTAATAATATTTCAACAGAAATTTCCAAGTTTTCCTTAATGCAAAATTCAAACAAAGAAGAAATACTAAAACTTGAAACTCAATTGACAAAGATACAACTGGTTACTAAAGTTGTTACCGACCTAGAAAATCAATTCAAGAATATTTCGAAGGAAATTTTAAATTTAGGTAAAAGAATTGATGAAATAAAAAATCTAAAAATTGATGTAGATTCCAAAATTGATCAGAAAGTTGAAAAAATTGAAAAAGATATTCAGTTATTAAGAGAATATGTTGAAAATGAGGACAAAAAATTGAATGTGGGTATTAATAAAATAAATGAAACTATGGGAACCAAAATTAAAGAAATAATTATTGAAAATCTCAAAGCAGAAATTGCACAAGTGAAAGATAAAATTGAAAATATAAGTACAGCTCAACTAGACAAAGTAAATAATCTTCTCAATGGACAAAACCTGGAGGAAGTATCGTTGACAAAAAGACGGTTGATATTTTCTATTCAATCTACAATTCCAACTATAATTAAGAAATTAAATGAAGAATTGAAGAAAATAGAAGAAGAAGGATTAGGTGATGTCGAGAATAGAACAATTAAATATCTAAGAATCCACATTAAAGATTGTCTTGATAATATAAATGGAGAAATTGACAAAATATTTGAATATTTAAAGGAAACAGATGAAAAAATCATGATTAATAAATTGGAAAAATGGGTGGAATCTTACAAAAGCTATTATGATAACTATTATTTAAAAAAATTTAATAAATGAGGCTACAAAAACAAATCATGATCAGTACTAACTAAATTGTCTACCATGATAAAAAAAAATGTAAAATGACTACCATTAAGGATCAAGTAGTTAATGAATTACACAAAACTGCTCGAAGAAAATATAAACGAAGAAGGGTGATTATTAAAGGGTTAAATGATCTCTTCGAGGCTGATCTGGTTGAAATGCAACCTTATGCTAAGTTCAATAAAGGATTTAAATATATTCTGATAGTTATTAATGCGTTTTCAAAGTATGTATGGGCGGAGCCGATTAAATCAAAGTCGAGCAAGGATGTGACAGCAGCAATGAAAAAAGTTCTCATCAATGCAAAAACTACCCCACGAAATTTACATACAGACAGGGGAAGAGAATTTTATGGTCATCATTTTCAAAAACTCATGCAGCAATATCAAATTAATCACTACAGCACATTTTCAAATTTAAAAGCTAGTGTTGTGGAAAGAGTAAATAGAACATTGAAAAATAAAATGTGGAAACAATTCAGCTTACAAGGAAATTACAAATGGTTAAATATTTTACCAAAAATAGTGACTGAATACAATAACACAAAGCATTCTACAACGGGACTTGAACCGTCTAAAATATCTAAGAAAAACGAAAAGGAAATATTTTCAAACACTTACAAACACATAAAAAGTATCGATATTCGAACTTCAAAATTCAAAATCGGTGACTTTGTGAGAATAAGTAAATATAGAGAACTATTTTCCAAAGGTTACACACCAAACTGGTCCAACGAAATATTTAGAATCAAAGAAATTAAATTGACCAATCCTACAACATATATTTTGGAAGATCAAAAACAAGATGAAATTCAAGGTGGATTTTATACAGAAGAACTACAAAAGGTTCAAAATCCTGACGTTTATTTGGTTGAAAAAATTTTAAAACGAAAAGGAAACAAAGTGTATGTTAAATGGCTTGGAATGGATAACTCATTTAATTCTTGGATATTAAAATCAAATGTATTATAGAAGGCTAAATCAATAAAACACTTTTTTAAATTTTTATTTCATTATTGAGTTATTGAAAAATCCATTAGTATGAACTCGTTGCTGCACCAATCTTGATTATCAAGGCTCGAGGGCACAGACAAAATTTCGATGGTCCTACCTCGAATTAATTTTTTATTTAAAGTCGATCTTTGGTCCGCGTTGTTTGTTGGTGAATGTTTCGATATAATCATAGTTAGTGGTGATTTTTTTTATAGCAGCCTGCTTGAGGATATGAATATTGAAACACAAGTGTAAGGTAAATTAAATAGTGCATTTATTTTTAAAATTAAACTTTAATCAATTAATCAATTAAAAAATTGATAATTACCTACCTACATTCTATAAGTCTAAATAATTAATAATAAAAATAATAATAACAAGTATATGAATAAGCTTAAATTAGTTCCATTAAATGTTTTTGTTCGGTTTCTTTTCTGAAATTTTCCTCAATTAAATGTTTTCTGCTATTAATTATATTTAGAAGTTGCTTACAGTATAAAACTTTTTTCGAATACATTTCCATTTTTGGAAAATTTGCTTTTCAGTTTGATTTAGTTCATCTAGCTGAAAAGATTTTTCAGCTATGATGACAGCTTCGGCGTTCATTTCTTCATTTTGTTCCATTTCATCATAATCTTCATTAGCAGGACTTTCTGGACTTGAAATGTCAATAATCTCGATTTGAGATTTTTCTTCTGGACACAAAAATTTCTCCAGATCCTGGTTGATCTCGATTTGAGATTTTTCTTCTGGACACAAAAATTTCTCCAGATCCTGGTTGAATTTATGATCTGGAGTCAATATTGATTCGATGGCTTTTTCGATTTCATCTTCGTTTTTTCTGTTCGGTTCTTCTTATCAAATGTTGTTTTATTATGATTTTGTTAGCACACATTTGGGCCAACTCAAATGCAGCTGGTTTGGAACACATTCTCGATTAAAAAATTAATAACTGAAAAAATTTTAAAAAAATATATCCTAGACTTAGGATTAATATTTATTTATACACTTATTATTATTATTTTTATTTATTTAGACTTATTATTATTATTTAAACTTATTACTTGGACTATTGTTTAAATGCAACTATGCAACTGAATACTGGAAGATTTCTAGTCCGCTTTTATTGGAAAATTGTAACTTAAAAATGGTTATTTTTGATTTTTTTTATTCAATTTAAACAGGGTGTATACACTAAATGATAAAATTCCCCCAAAGAATTTTAAAAACGAAAATATGGTGGGAACTAATTTTTGTAATTCAGTTACAAAATGTCATCTTTTCGACATTGATTTTAGTTGTCAAAAATGGTTCATTCTAACACAAACGTCAAAAATAAACAGTGTGTTCTAATATAGTGTTAAAATGAGAAGTGGTCCAACACATTGTGTGTAAAAAACATGCTCATTTTACAACTTGTTACATAAATAACTATTTTGCTTTGCAAATCTCGAAAGCCATTTTATTAGAACAAATATATTTCTATATATTAAGTAAAAGTGTATGACACCAATAGAAAATAAAAGTTTAATTGGATAAAATTGGTTTGTAAGTCATTGAAAAATTTCACATGTTTAAAACCTCATATAATAAATCCATAAAAATTTAGTAATATTTTGATTTCTGTAGCCCATGCATTGAAAGTTTTCCACCCTGTATTCTTAAGGTAATTCCATTAAAGTGCATGCAATTTAAATCTGGTCTTGAGATATAAATTATTCTACGCGTACTCCCTACATAATTATACTGTCTGTAAAAATGCGATGATCGTTGAACCTAAATGGCCGTGAACATTTTTATGAAAACAAGATCCATTAAAATTTCTGCACTCCGTATATGTCTTCAATTTTATCTTATAATTAAACAACTTCATTGTCTGTAAAAAATACATTTTATCGAGTTCATTCATTGCACTTTAAATGACCATCATTTGGAGGTCGTCTGGTTTGATGGAGGACTTTGGAAAGAAAAATGCACTAATTTTTTAAGCGATTTGGCTTTATTTGAAATAATCATACATAATTGGATAAAATCATTTTATTACAATAATAACATTTTTCTTGTGAATCTGGTGGACCATCAAAGTGAGTTCTCCATTCTGATCTGTTGTGATGAATATGGCATGGTAACTTAATTTGAAGAATGAAGTTATTTTTGTAACTTATTGGTAATTTACCCCACGATTCCAAAAGTTCAAAGGGCTTTGCATGTTTCAATAAATAATCTAACGGAATTCTCAATAGTTCTTCGCTTGTAAAATCTGAGAGTAATTTTTCACCATTCATATGAGCTAGAACATTGTCTATAGAAGAACAACAATTCATTTTTTAGTTTTTCAGTATTGGTGATTGTTAATAACTTTACTATTTTTGCAATATAACTTTGATAGCAATTAAGCGTTAAGCGATTAACAATAACGGTCTGCTTTTAATTTTGAATCCTTTCAAGAGCTTCTACATCCCATGGAGTTTGCAACACTATTGAGGAATAAAAATTCAGGAATTGTTTAAATATTCTTTAATTTTCAAGAAAGAGTAGAGGTGGGTATTGGTTTGATAGCTGAAGCCTTTGATTTGAAATTTTGGGAATTTGACCTGTTAATCCGGGTCCCGTGGGAACTTTTTCGATAGCGTGGGAAATTTTTCGATAGCGTGGGAACTTTTTCAATAGCGTGGGAACTTTTTCGATAGCATGGGAACTTTTTTGATAGCGTGGGAAAATCGGTTCCTTTGATATGAAATTAGAATTTGACCTGGGCCAACCCCAAAATTTGTGAATCTGGTGAACCATTTACGTAGAAGAGGTCTGGGGGCACTTGAGTCAGCTTCAGGGAAGGGGGTTTACAGTGGTATGATGGCTGTGCTGGAGGGGGGTTTTACATGGTAGAGGTGGGTATGTGGTCTGATAGCTGTGAAAGCACTCTACTGTGGTCACGTGGTTTTTAACTAATTAGAGCCTCATCTAAACCATATAAAATAGTTTACCAGTCTTACAATCAATTCTAAGAGTGGTCACGTGGTTTTTAACTAATTAGAGCCCCATCTAAACCATTTAAAATAGTTTACCAGTCTTACAAATAATTCTAAGAGTGGTCACGTGGTTTTTAACTAATAAGAGCTCCATCTAAACCATATAAAATAGTTTACCAGTCTTACAAATAATTCTAAGAGTGGTCACGTGGTTTTTAACTAATAAGAGACCCATCTAGACCATATAAAATAGTTTACCAGTCTTACAAATAATTCTAAGAGTGGTCACGTGGTTTTTAACTAATAAGAGCTCCATCTAAACCATATAAAATAGTTTACCAGTCTTACAGATAATTCTAAGAGTGGTCACGTGGTTTTTAACTAATAAGTGACTCATCTTAACCATATAAAATAGTTAACCAGTCTTACAGATAATTCTTAGAGTGGTCACGTGGTTTTTAACTAATAAGTGACTCATCTTAACCATATAAAATAGTTTACCAGTCTTACAGATAATTCTAAGAGTGGTCACGTGGTTTTCAACTAATAAGAGCTCCATCCAAATCATATAAAATAGTTTATCAGTCTTACAGATAAATCTAAGTGTGGTCACGTGGTTTTTAACTAATAAGAGCCCATCCAAACCATATAAAATGGTTTATCAGTCTTACAGATAATTCTAAGAGTGGTCACGTGGTTTTTAACTAATAGGAGCCCCATCCAAACCATATAAAATAGTTTATCAGTCTTACAGATAATTCTAAGAGTGGTCACGTGGATTTTATCTAATAAGTGACTCATCCTAACCATATAAAATAGTTTATCAGTCTTACAGATAATTCTAAGAGTGGTCACGTGGTTTTTAAATAATAAGTGACTCATCTTAACCATATAAAATAGTTTACCAGTCTCACAGATAATTCTAAGAGTGGTCACGTGGTTTTTAACTAATAAGTGACTCATCTTAACCATATAAAATAGTTAACCAGTCTTACAGATAATTCTAAGATTGGTCACGTGGTTTTTAACTAATAAGTGACTCATCTTAACCATATAAAATAGTTTACCAGTCTTACAGATAATTCTAAGAGTGGTCACGTGGTTTTTGACTAATAAGAGCCCCATCTAAACCATATAAAATAGTTTACCAGTCTTAAAATTAATTCTAACAGCGTCACGTGGTTTTTAACTAAGAAGAGCCCCCTCTAAACCATATAAAATAGTTTATCAGTCTTACAGATAATTCTAAGAGTGGTCACGTGGTTTTTAACTAAGAAGAGCCCCCTCTAAACCATATAAAATAGTTTATCAGTCTTACAGATAATTCTAAGAGTGGTCATGAGGTTTTTATCTAATAAGTGACTCATTTTAACCATATAAAATAGTTTATCAGTCTTACAGATAATTCTAAGTGTGTTCACGTGGTTTTTGACTAATAAGTGACTCATCGCCCCCTTTAGCGCCACGCCCCTCCAAATCCCGTCCCTTTTAGTGCCACGCTCCCTCTAGCGCCACGCCCCTCCGAACTTCACCTTTTTCTACCAGTCTGACAATTAATTCTAAGAGTGGTCACGTGGTTTTTAACTAATTACAGCCCCAGCTTAACCATATGAAATGGTTTACCATTCTTACAATTAATTCTAAGAGTGATCACGTGGTTTTTAACTAATTAGAGCCTCATCTAAACCATATAAAATAGTTTAACAGCCTTACAATTAATTCTAAGAGTGGTCACGTGGTTTTTACTAATTAGAGCTCATCTAAACCATAGAAAATAGTTTAACAGTCTAACAATTAATTCTAAGAGTGGTCACATAGTTTTTAACTAATTAGAGCCTCATTACGCCCCTCCAAACACCGCCCCTTCTAGTGCCACGCCCCTTTTTGTGCAACGCCCTTTTTGCGCCACCACCTTACCAAACCCCGCCCTCTCAGTGCCACGCTCCTTTTAGTGCCACGCCCCCCTTAGTGCCACGCCCCTCCAAACACCACCCTTCCAGTGCCACGCCCCTTTTAGTGCCACGCCCCTTTTAGTGCCACGCCCCTTTTATTGCCACGCCTCGCCAAACCCCGCCCTATTTAGTGCCACGCCTCTTTTGCGCCACCACCCCACCAAACCACGTCCGCTTTAGCGCCACGCCCCTCCAAACCCCGCCCTTTCAGTGCCACGCCCCTTTTAGTGCCTCGCCCCTATTACCAGTCTTACAATTAATTCTAAGAGTAGTCACGTGGTTTTTAACTAATTAGAGCCTCACCTAAATCATATAAAATAGTTTACCAGTCTTACAATTAATTCTAAGAGTGGTCACGTGGCTTTTAACTGATTAGAGCCTCATCTAAACCATATAAAATAGTTTACCAGTCCTAAAATTAATTCTAAGAGAGGTCACGTGGTTTTTAACTAATTAGAGCCTCACCTAAATCATATAAAATAGTTACAATCAATTCTAAGAGTAGGCACGTGGTTTTTAACTATTAAGTGACTCATCTTAACCATATAAAATAGTTTACCAGCCTTACAATTAATTCTAAGAGTGGTCACGTGGTTTTTAACTAATTAGAGCCTCATCTAAACCATATAAAATAGTTTACCAGTCTTACAATTGATTCTAAGAGTGGTCGCGCAGTTTTTAACTAATAAGAGCCTCATCTAAACCATATAAAATAGTTTACCAGTCTTACAATTAATTCTAAGAGTGGTCACGTGGTTTTTAACTAATTAGAGCCTCATCTAAACCATATAAAATAGTTTACCAGTCTTACAATTAATTCTAAGAGTGGTCGCGCAGTTTTTAACTAATAAGAGCCTCATCTTAACCATATAAAATAGTTTACCAGCCTTACAATTAATTCTAAGAGTGATCACGTGGTTTTGAACTAATTAG